GAGAGAGAGAGAGAGAGAGAGAGAGAGAGAGAGAGAGAGAGAGAGAGAGAGGGGCCCAATAAGGCCTTTGCTTTTAAGCGACTGGTGTATTCACAGGGCATCCTAAGCAAATACGTACTTTCTTAGTTCAGTTGGAATCGAGTCAAATGACAAAGGGCATAACCCTGTCTCAAATACATTACAAGACGTTTTCGGAAGTGAATCTTCGGGGAAAGGGGGGAGGAAGTTTTTATGGATGGTTCAAATAAACCTTTCTTTTAGCGTATGGCCAAAATTGTGTCATTGAGGGCCAAAACTTGGGGCTTAAACTGTGTTGATGGGCCCCTAAATTGTGTCGTTGGGGGCCAAAATTGTGTCTTTTGGGGTCAAAATTGTGTCGTTGGGGGCCTAAACTGTGTCGAAGAGGAGGCAAAAAGGTTGACAAGGATACTCACCGACCAGTCGACGACAGAGCGGAGCTCCCGTTTGCGGTACCCCCCGGTCTCCGCATGGCTCGGGTGGAGGTAGTTGGTGTGGCTGAAGTTGCTCTTGGCGATCGCCCTCCTGGGGAGACGAGAAACAGACGGTTGGAACAAAGCGTCGATACAATCACAGATGGCATGTTTCAAGGAATTGAAGAAACAGACGGTTGGAAGAAAACATCGATACAGAGGTGTCTCGTTTTAAGCAATTGAAGAAACAATATTTGAGCAAAGCGTCGATACACAGATGTCATGTTTTAAGGAATAGAAGAAACAATGAATGAAGTAACGATATGGACTCGTTTTAAGGAATATAACAAACAATGTTAGAAGAAAGTATACATACAGACGTCATGTAGAAAAAAAATGTTTGAAGAAAGTGTCGATACAGATGTCATGTTTTAAGGAAGAGAATAAACAAAACGATAGAAGAAAGTATCGATAAGGACATGTTTTAAGGAATGAAATAAATAGAAATGTAGTTTGAAGTTTAAGTTTTAGTTGTGGTAAGAGTTTTACAGTACAGATAAGGATAAGAGATGTTTAATAGGAAAGAAAGAGCAAACAACACCACCACACATAGTGTCCTGTTTAACGGTTGGTACACGTGCTCAGGAGGACAGATTAGGTTTAGCTTTAATAAGGTTTTACGGCGCTCGCAACTGCATATGGTCATATGAGCGCCAAGGGGTGGATGGCAACAGAAAAGTCCCTACGGGGAATCGGGTTTACTCTGGTCACCTCTCTAGCTTCAACAGCACAAAGTCTGCTTCGACTATCAAGGCACCTCGGAAATAGCGGGTCACAAGAGTGTGACAAACATACGAAAGAAATAGAGGGGAAATGACGATAGTAAAGATTAGGAAAGAAAAGGCAGCAGTTCCCTGTTGAAGTTCAGGCACAGTTATGAGCGCTACCTTGATGAATCAGCCCATTTACAATTACAATTCAACAGTGCACATGAACATGGTTAATGTCCCCCCTTTGGGAATGGCCTAAAGACACTTCAGTCAGTAGCACCGCCCCTGGGGGTTGGAGGACAGATGGATTCTGGATGTTTGATGGTAAATGGTAAAGAAGACGCAAACCATATCAGATCATAACGCACCTTCGCATCCAGGTGATTACAATTCCTAAGAGGAAAGAAAAACAATAAATGTTTGAAAGCAAAGAGAGAGCAAACCACACCAGTGCACCGCGCATAAACCCACAGATCCAACTTAACGGCGAGTACAATGGCATACAAAGAGGGAGAGAAGAACGATACATGTTTGATGGTACAGAAGGAGCAAACCACACAAGAGTAACCACGTATCCCACTTAAAGTTAAGTACCAAGGAGGAAAGATAGACGGTTGATAGTAAAGAAGGAGCAAATCAGACCAGAGCACCCCGCATCCTGTTTATCGGTGGGTACATGTACAAAGAAAGAAAGAAGGAAGATTGATGTTTGATGAGAAAGAAGAAGAAATCATAACAGAGCACCATGTACCCATGCGTCCTGTTCAACGGTCAGTACATAATGGGGAAAGATAGACAATAGATGTCTGATAGTAAAGAAGGAGCAAACCCCACCAGAGCACCACGCATCCCACTTTACGGCGGTGAGTGCATATCTAAACTAAGAAGGAAAGATGGACGATAGATATTTGAAAATAGAGAAGGAGCAAACCCAACCAGCGCACCAGGCATTCTACCTGACAGTGAGTACCAAAGAGGAAAGACATGTTTTTTTGATAGGTCAGAAAAAGTAAACCACACCAGAGCACGAACCACACTACTTTATGTTGAGTACCGTGTAGAAGAGATAATTGTTAGATACCCAAGAAGGAGTAAACCATACCAGAGCACGAGCCACACTACTTTATGTTGAGTACCGTGTAGAAGAGATAATTGTTAGATACCCAAGAAGGAGTAAACCATACCAGAACACGAACCACACTACTTTATGTTGAGTACCGTGTAGAAGAGATAATTGTCAGATACCCAAGAAGGAGTAAACCATACCAGAGCACGAACCACACTACTTTATGTTGAGTACCGTGTAGAAGAGATAATT